GGCAGTTCAGAAGCAGTAAGAGTTGTGCAATGCATACCACAACTCAGGCCCAATGCAAAAGTCAGGCCACCCCATCCCTGCCAATATAAGGAGCCTGGCCATTTGAAAAGTCGAAAACCCAAAAGAAACAACTATAGGGACCTGTAATCAACTAGAATATCCTGCCAGAAGAGACCTGATTGGAATGAATTCTCATGCCACACCAGATACCACTGAAATACTATTAGGCCAAATGAAAATAACAGCTTAGATCAGGCTGCTAAGTCCTCCCACAGAGCACACACAAAAATCTTTTGTCATGGAGTCAGAAGACTAGCAGAGGTACTCTCTCTAGACCAGCTACCATTCCAGAAAAACGAGTATCTACTATTAAAGGAGAAGCCAGAGACTTCTTTTTAAAGAGTCCATTCTAGCACCTGACTCCTGACCCACTGGCTGCAGCTTACACGCATTCACTCTCTCTCCATTTGCTGAAGGGCTTATTGAAAGGTACTTAAGCCAGAGAATTCCCAGCCAAGAGAAGGAAACAGGAGAATTATCATCAATAAAGGGCATATAGTAACAACAAAAGATTAAAAGATTTCCTATATTCCAACAATAATTATTTGTAATTATAATGGGAAACAGTAGCAACTTAAAAATATATAAATCCAGGAATACCTTTTACAAAAAATGTGCAAGATTTACATGGCAACTACAAAACTTTACTCAGAGACAGACATCAGAACAAATGAAGACATACCCATATCTTGGATAGAAAGATTTAACATATAAATATGAACTTTTTAAGGTTACTTTATATTGGAATTATTTAATTTTGAAAATCCCGAAAGAATTAGGGGGATAGGAAATTGATGGATTGACTATAAAATGCATCAGGAAAAAATAAACTAGTAAAAATAGCTAAGAACATGGTAAAATATAAAAAGGAGGAGGAGGGAAGGGCAGAGATTTGCTGTACCAGATCCTCAAGTACATGATAAAACCTCAATGATTAAAATAATGTGTACTGGCACAGGAAGAGCAGATGGATCAGTGTAAAGAACAAGTCTAGAAACAGGCCTAGCCATAAATAAGAATTTAGTATATGACAGAGGCAGCAACTTCAGTGAAAGAAAGATGATTCTTTAAAGGTAAATGATAAACGAGACAATTGTGATACACAATGGGGCAATATCATTCATATATATACCTTTTATACTATATCATCTTTTTTTTTTCAAAATAAAAAGATAAACTACTCCTCAGCAGAAAATTGGGCAAAGCTTATTTTACAGGCAACACACACACACAGATATGAAAATTATTCAACTGTACTAGTAATATAAGAAATGGAAATTAAAACAAGTTATTATAATTTTTTGCTTATCAAATTAATAAAGATCTTAAATTATAATATCAACTTATGAAGGTATAAGGGAAATACAGCTTATAACCTGCCTGGTGGGCAATTTAGCAGTCAACATCAAAACCTATAACAACGTGCATACCATTCATTCCACAACTGTTTATTTACCCTAAGGAAATAATGATGATGTTGGACAGAGATTTATCTACATGGTAGTTTAAAGAAGCATTGTTTATATTAGCTAAATACTGAGAAGAATCTCAAGTAGGGGACTGGTCATATGAGTCATTGGCATATTCATATGATTTAATACTGGGCATTCACTTAAAGAAATGATAGAAAAGGAGATTTAATGACATTGGAAAATGTTCATAATGTAGCTTGAAAAGGAGCAATATACAAACTATTTACTATATGATCCCATGTTGATTTAAAAAATACAAAGTCTAGATGGCTATGAACTTGGCAGGAATGTCAGCAGTTGCTACTGTGGCAAGTTCTATCATGGGGGATTTTTACATTTGTACTTCTCTGAACTTTCAATTTTCTGTACTAAGCTGTATTTTTAAAGTTTCTTTTTCCAAAAATAATTGGAAAGATATGTTTCAAAGTTACATTGGCTTCCTCTGGCTGCTAGAATTATAGATGATTTAATTTTTTAGTATGGCTTTCTATATTTCTCAAAATTTTCTATAAGGTTAGTTTTAAAAAAAGAAAAACACTGCACACTTGCTAAGGGTGTTTCCTTAGGAGGCAAGACCCACCAAACTAGTTACAATGCAGAGAAGCACAGGCCAAGTGACAAATGCTAATATCTACAGTGATATTAAACTGAGGCCCCTGCCCCTGGGGCTTGGTCTTTACTGGGCTCTGTATTCCAGCCCCTAGAAATGGCATCACCAGTGTTCTATGAATGCCTTGTCTATTGAATGGAAAATACTGGCACCACCAACTCCCACCTCCACCACTCAAGAAGCCTTTTCATCTTCCCACTAATGCTAAGGTTATTAAAGTGGTAGTATTGAGTATAATATCTTCATAGGGGAGTCCTGATGAACACCCACTATTCAAAATTTCTAAAATGCCACAGAAAAGGTTTCAGTGTAAAAAAACTAACCCAAGTATAATCACTCTGCGACATCTAGGAGAATAAAAATGCCCACCATGAGGAGTTTTTCCTAAGCTGTTTTTTTTTTTTTGAGAGCCATGTCAATCTTTTTATGTGATGTTTTAAGGTAAAAAATGCTTTCTTTTGTAAGATTTGGCTACTAAAACCAGCAAGACTATAGAGCAGCTGTTCAACTGACTTCAAATCCCTAAAATACTTAAGCATCCACACTAATAAAGAAGAGCCAACAACTTTACCCTCCTCCTGTGGGTGCAGCAACCAATGCTTGGTTGAATTAAGCAAATTTGAATCTTTACTTCCTTCTTGTCTGCTCACATGCTCTAGCCTAGAGAAAAAATTATCAAGATTTGAAAGACTAAACTCCAAAAAAGAAAGGACAATAAGGAAACAAGATAACTAACCCTTGTACAAGCAGCAGCTGACTGGTTCTATGGAAGCAGCCTGAATTATAAGCAGCTTGCCCAGTGGTGAGTTCAAGTCCAGTTTTCTGGCATCTGCTGCCACAGCCTCCTGTGTGCACCTCCGTGTTAGTGCACAGTGTGTTCACTGAAGCTGTCTCTGCAGCTTGTCATATGAAATGCACTCCTCTAGCATGGGAACTGTGTGGACTTAACACCCTAGTATGAACTCATTTAATACCCAGTACTGAGCACAAGCTCTTGACATGCTGTAAGTGGAAAATAAACATCTCTGAACTGCTATGATAAAACTGACTTTCTCTGCCGTTCTTGTGCAGGTGAAAGGCAGAACCTTGCAGTAAGCCTCACAGCCCTTACCTGAAGGGGTGAAACTTTAATAATAAAAATAAATGCCTAAGTAAAGGGTTAAAGGAGTGAAGGAGAACTAGACTTTCGGCAGAAGTAGTCCCAGTTTACCCAGTTCACCCCAAAGGTAGGAGGATAGGAGAGGATCTAAAGATGACAGAGAAGACACATGTGACTACCTTTCCACTGCAAGTGGTACTTTTGAGTTCCCAGTTCATGAGGTGTAGATCAGGCATAAATGCTCCGATTTAAAACACTGTTACAATCACAGAGAAAGTATAAGGAAGGAGACTGGGATGGGCAGAAAGAAGCCCATGTACCTTGAGATACTCAATGCCCCCCGGCCCCGAATGCATGCCATGCCACAGTGGGGCGATGCTGACTGTTCACCCTGTTCCAGCATTCTCCTTCCCAGTGGAGTCTGGGCTGCCCTTACCCTGACAGAACATGTCATTCAGATCCTGACTTTCAGAGTCAGGCTCCTTCTTCAAAGAGGGCTTGCATGAAAGACTCACATGTATTTACACAGCCATCATTACATATCTTGTTCATGCAGTGCACTGAGAAAGCCACTCAATCTGGATGGCTAGCCTGTGTTTCAAGTTGATGGGAGCCTGGAGACCAGAATAAGCCTTGTTCAGTGGTTCTCAGTCTTGGTAGCACATGAGAGTCACCTGGGGAGCTTTTAAAAAATACTAGAGCAGAGTCTCAACCCAAACCAATTAAATCAGAATTGCTAGGGGTGAGATCTGGGCATTGTTTGCTTGTTTTCTTAAAGCTCCACAAAGAACAATCCATTTTTTTTTTAGCATGCTAAAACCCAGCAGTTATGTTTTCTAAAAAAGTCTTTCCTAGCGACAGAAGATTTGCTTTAAAATACACTCCATGGAGAAGGATGGTTTTGATTACACAAGATTGGCAAAATGTTGGTAATTGTTGAAGCTGGGTGATGGACACATAGGAGTTGATTACATTTATCCACTATTTAAAAATCTCTATACTAAAAGGCTATTTTATAAAACCAGCAGAAAATTTATTTTCTTTACCCCCAAATACAAGTATATATGTGTAATGTATTTAATATAAAAATATTTTTAAAAAGCATTAAAAGCTTTGCAAGTGATTCTAATGTACAACCAGAGTTGAGAACCACTAAGCAACACCTTTGAAGGAGGGGCAAACTTGACTTGGAAAAATAAAGATTTAAATAAGCAGCAAGAGGATATCTTGGTGAGAGAGTTCAACTCAGGTTCTGGCAGGATGGATTCCAGTGAGGGTGGCAGGCCTCCTCTATGGACCACCATCTCTGATTTCTGCTGTGCATATATTTGCCTGAATTTTTGAGAATCTTTATGCACAAGTAAACTAAATACACATGCATGCGTGTATATATCTCTATGTGTATGTGATTGAAGACTGCACTGCTAATTATATTCAGTAGTCCGCAATTTTTTTAAAAACACTCTTGTGGCAATGCTGCCTATGACCTAAAATTTTGGACTGTGGAACAATGACACAGAAAGGCCCTCCTCAGGAGGAACAGGCTGCAGGGGTGAGGGTGGGGGGTATGGTCTTGGGAGCTGGTGAGCCTTCCATCTACATAAGTGATTTATGGGCAGGGCTACTTAGAGGGCCCTGAGTGAACTCCTAACTCAGGTGCTCCTCGTGGGAGGCATCAAGGAGAGCAACAAAGTCTCAGCCTAACAAAGACAGATTGCATCGAAACGCCCCTCATACCACCCCCAAGCCCCCAACTCACCTATTCTTCTCCATTTCATTGTGAGTTGATCTGAAGAGGGAATAAGAAAATAGTAAGATTATTCTGGTTTTAAAGGACTACTTCAACACCAACACAATTGCTTTAGTTTCTTTCTCTCTGAAGTTGGTAGGAGAGAAGACAGGGAGAAAAACCTCAGTGGGCTCTACTAAAGACATTAGTTCCTTTCTGGTTTTAGATACATGTAAACCCCTGAAATAGAGTTCATGGAGAAGTGACAAACTAAGAGGCATGCAATCCCTAGTGGAAAAGTTATCAACTTTAAGAAAGGAAATAAAAGGAGCCTATTTATACAATGAGGAAAACAGTCATGCAATGCAATGTGAATTGGGGTTACAATACCATGAAGCTTTCTTTAGGCTGAGGGTAGAAAGCCTCCCACCCCAGCCCTGCGGTGTTCTAGGTGTAGGATACACACCAACTTTTTATGCTAAGTTGCTGACAATAGGATACAGTTTTAAACAGATAAAAATACCTCTTCCCTCAATCTTTCTATTCCCTAAACTCACTATTTTATTATGTACAACCTCCTGAAATCCACTACTGTTGAATAGCTACCAAATGATTTTAGGAAGGGGCTTCCAAAGTACAACTCATAGGGAAGAGGATAGACTAGGTAAAACAGCAGTTAGGATGAAATCTGAAGTCTAGCTTTGCCACTGACTGGTACTATAGGAGAAATAAAATTCTTTACCACCCAGTCCTTGGTTATCCTTTCTGTAAAATGGGAACAAAAATTATTGCCAATTATCTACTGTACAAGCATGCATCTATGAGGTAGCAACTGTTAAAAGTGATTAGTGAGCCTTGGATAAAAGCTGTGGTAGATGTGAAATCATATTATTAGTGTGTTTGTAGCTGACCTTGAATATAAGGTCTGGTCTAAGAACCCATGGACATGTTTCCACAAAAGTTACAAAAAGTCAATGTGGCCGCTTCAGTGTCCTCACACAACTCCTCCCCGACAAGTTATAAATAAACTTGAGGAAATTCCCAGGGTTATACAGGAGCTGAATCTTGACCTTTCTTATGGTAATTCTCTGGAATCTAACTGGTTCAGGAGATTATGCCTTTGCTCAGGTCATGAATACTCTGGGGCCATAATGAGAACCTTCCTGGACCTAGAAGAGAGAGTCTCATAGTCATCATGGAGGAACATGACTTCCATGAATGCTCAGCCACTCATTTACATCAGGGGAGCACCATCACCTACGTGTGTGTGTGTGTGTGATGGGAGATTTCCTTCTCTTCTACAAAGCTCTTGAGCTACCAATTTTTATTCACAAGGAAGAACAAGAAAGTAATGGCAGCATTTTAAGTTTTAGAATATCTGTTTTCTAGATAAAGGATATGTAGACCTTAAAATTGGTTACCTTAAAACCTTTAAATTGATGTATTTGGTTATCCCTCAGCCCTCTTCAGTTACATTTTCTGAAAATTTACTTCCTGCAATGGCCAGCAACGAATCAGTTAACAAGAACCAGGCCTGCATTGCAAACCTTTGGCTTTAAAGCACGTGGCATTTTAGTTTTAACAGAGAATAACAAGTTCAAAGTCTGACAGATTTTTTAAATTCATTGAAAGTATATGACAACAGCTGGTCAGGATTTCCCTGCTTAATCGTTGACAAGGGCCATCCTTGGGAGGTGGTGGAAGAGAGGATAGGTATTTGAAAAGAACATGGTCTCTGATTGTAGAAAATAACAGCACACAGGACATTGTTACAAAAACTTCTGGATTCTTTGAAGATACATATGAAAAATTCTGAATCCCCAAAAGAAGCTTTTTAACAAGTTCCATAGGAAATGGCTTCCAAACTTTGAACAGAATTTTAGGAACTATAGATTTTATCTGATTACTTAAAAGGGCTGAACACGTGATTTTTCCAATTGCTAGGGCATTACTGAAGTACATTCAGTTTACTGAAACTGAGTCTGCTTTAATAAAAAGTAGGCTTTTCAAAAAATGATAAAAGATTGACAGCCAACTCTGTTGATAGGTAAACCATATATTTTTCATTAAAGCATTTTATAAGAAAACATAGATACCTTGTGTCAAAATTATTTTCCATGTGATTATTGAAAAGATTTGGTAACTCTAGAATCACCGTTAAAGATTCAGTGTCACCATCTAAAAAATATACTCTTAACATTAAGGTAACTAAGGCAAACTATAGAGTATCTGAGAAAAGGAAAAGTCTTTGGGTTCAAAAAGACTCCCTATGTGAGGTCAGCTATATAGCTACTGTCTAATGAAAGAACTAGGTGGCAAGTCCTGAACTTCCACTTTCACAAGTGCCAAAGCCTGCTTTACCAACTTAACAAAACATACACTTAAAAACTCTGGATTTCAATTCTAAGTATTTACTAACCGATTTTAAAAATCAGTAGGAAAGAAAAAAAGATTCCATCTCTCTGTTTTCTAGTAGTTTTCTGGATGATTCCAAAACAATCAACAGTCACATTTTCATTTGTTTTTGTTGTTTTTTTTAATCTAGAGAAACTTGATTAAGATCTGCACTTTCACTTCCCAGGAAGTTTACTATGTGACTTTTTTTTAAATGTCCAAGGAAAAGTAGCCCCCTGATTCTACAAAGAGGACAGCATTTCAATCTGAATTAACAAGAATAAACTGTTACCCACTGGTTATGTAAACCAGCAGTAATCTCTCCACAGTCCTCACCTCAGTTCAAAATCCTGACCATACATGACCTTGGATGTAAGTCTAATTCAAATCAAGGGGTCAAACTGCCTTCTCTGGGGAGATCTCTCACTGCCCAGGTACGGGTCATTCCAAACAGCTCATGAAGGAAATGATCACATTTACAAAACAACCTGCTCTTGCTTCATCTGTTTGCTTGGTGCCATCTCCAGGTTTAACCATGGTCTCTCAGAGATCCCTGCACCACTGAAGATGTTACAATAATATACTATTAGTTCAGAACATGGACAACAGGATAGCCTCCTGTCTCTAACCATGGAAAGCAAACCAAACCCATGAACAGAAGTAACACAGCTTTTCCAAAAATCAGCCATTTTTCAGAAGTAATGTTGGATATTAAAGAGAAGATAATCTTTTCTTGGCTTGAAACGCTCAACTATTATTTTTCCTTACTAATCACCTTTTGGAACCAAGCTGGTTCTCTTCAACATCCCCTTTTTTCCTCTTCCCACAACTGAACATCCCCCCACCAACTTTCCTGTGAAACTTGGGAAAAAATAAAGTGCCAAGGATAAAGTTTTGACTATTAATGTGTACAATTCCCTACAAACCATGAGGAGACAAGAATAAAAGCAACAAATGGACTACATTTTTCCAGAAAAGTAAACCAAACCTTTTCAAAGTTCTTGTATATAAAACTTTAAAAACCAATATTGTAACAAAACACAACACAGCTAAATTATTTTATACCATTGCATAATACAAGTGATTATTCATATCTTTCTTAAAGGCCTTAGTACCCATGCACACTTACTGGCTACCACCTTCAGGTTAATGCTAAAGATGGGAGAGGCAAAACCACCAGGTAGTTAATTACCAGGTTCATCCTTCACGTGCCTTCCATGCCTTCCTATTCAAGAGGTACTCACATCCTGTGGTTCTACCAACACTAAGGACAATGGGGTGAATCAAGGACAGAAGTGGCAGCAAGAACAAGTTGAGTTTTAGGCTCAAGTGGGAACCTTCTGGCTTTTAGTGGTCTGTATTGTGCCACAAAGCTGAACAGATAATAGTTATATGCAGGGAGTTATTCATGAGGATGGGAGAGGGATAAGGATTCTAAATCAGTGATGAAAATATCAGTGATTTTAATTTATTGGAATGAAAGGTATAATTCAAAAAGATCTCATAAAACAGGCTTCCTAGTTAACTTATTTTAAGGGAAAAAAGGGGCAATAGCATTAATGGGGTACTTACATGTACCAGGGACTATGTTCACGGCTTTAATATGTGATTTCATTGACCATGAACCAAATACTTTCCAGTGAGATTCAGAGATTTAAAAAACTATGAGGCTAACATAAAAAGGTGGTGGTATACTAGTATATTAATGTTATATTAATGTTATATACTCTTCTATCACCAAAAAGGTAGGTTTTAACCTTAATCATTCCTCTTTGCCATTATACACAGATGTGAAAAATTATCAGATAAACCACTGAATTTGTATGTCAATATGAAATCCTACCACCTATGTCAAGTCAGATACTGTAACATTTATAAAATCTTCACTATGAAAAATCAAGAGAAATAATGTCCAGCTTTTTCAATATATAGAATACAAAACCTTTCAATTATAGAAAAAGAATCTGCAACTTTTGAAGGCAAAATATTGTCAGTGTTGCTGATCTCACTGGAAGTTTTCATAGAGTTTTGTTTCAAAAGGGAAGAAAACCACAATTAAATTTTTTAGAAAGTTGATAAAGAAATATCAAACATTTCCATTTCTCTCTTTTCTTCAGTTCCCTAACCCCAAACAGAAGGGCTGCTTCCTTAAATGGCTTAAGACCATGTATACATTACTGAATCATGATTGCCATTTAATTTACAGGGTTATAATCACAACAGGCAACTTCCATTCTGCAGTTGGTGTCATTTTCAGTATAATCTAAAAGAGAAAGAGAAATATTTACCAAATTACCTGCTACTGCTGTTATTCTTCTTGGGTTTGTTCCTCCGTTTTAAGGCATCTCTGTCCTTGTTATTGTATGGTAACATGGAGGCATAACCATGCTCAGCTTCTAGAAAACCGGAGGATCCAGTTAATGAATGAGCCCAAAACTCTCAATACTCTTTCCCCTACACAGTATTTCCTTTTCAAAAGGTACTTACTTTTCATTAAAAGAATAATGTGAAAATAAACGGAGCAAAGTGGAATTCTTAGAACAATAATTGTTTTTTTAATTGTGCGAACACCCTCTGTACGGAGCAGGTGTAAGGAGCATTCTAGTTGCTCATTGTTGAGAAAGACACGTAAGTCGCCAAGCTCATGGAGCCTGGGTTTCCCGTTGGCAACGTCCAGCAGGTTGGTGTGTGTTAAGTGGGACCAGCTTCAGGCGAAGATGCTGGGCAAACACCGGGAGTCAGGGTCGGGGGTTGCGGAGCCGTACAGGAGAGGCGCTGCTCCTCCAGCAGGTCCACGTAGGGGCCGGCCGGGGCAAGCCCCGCTGAGGTAAACCAAGAGCCTGGCTGAGCGGTCCCCGGGCACCCCACTAGCCACGGGGTGAAGGGAAGAAGGTGTCGCGCTTGGGACCTCGGGGGGAAGCGGCCCCTTTGCCACCCTCATTCTTTGCCTTTGGGGCAGCGGCAGCCTCCCAGCGGACCGCGCGTGGAGAGAACTGGAGGGGTTGGGAGCGCTCGCGGTCGCCCTCTCCGAGCCTCCAACCACCCCCAGAGTGGTTGGGCGCCCCGACCCGCGGCCAGGACCCTCAGAGCCCTGGCCGGGTCTCGGCCCGAACCCCTCCCGTCCCCGTGCACCTCTCTCCCGCCGCTCCAGGTAATCGGCCGCCTCCAGCAGCATCTGGATGTTCATCCGAACCGCCGCCGCCATTCTGCACCGGGGGCCGGAGCCACGGGACCAACCCCCACTGCTCACAGGCTCACGAGCTCGCCGCCGCCGCCGCCGCCGCCGGACACCCTCGCCCCGCTGTGGACCCCGTAGAACAGGGTTGAGAGAGCTTCTCCGGCGACCACGCTCGCAAGAAGAGGGGGAAGGGGCCGGTGAGCTGGGCACCACACACACAGTGACAGAACCCGGAGAAAAGCAGCAGCCGCCACCGTCGCGCAGTGTTTATCCCCGACTCACCATCCCCCCGCCCCCAGCCCCTTCTCTTGACAGGCCCTCTTCGGCTGCGTTCCTCATTGGGTACCCCAAAGAATGCCCAGCCCCTGAGCTTGTCCGATTGGGAAAGGGCACCAGGGCCCCGCCCCTTAGAGTCCGCTCCTCCCCCTGGTTGGTCACACTTGACAAGACCCGGGCTCCGCCCCCTCTTTCCAATTGGTGACAGTGCTAGCAACTCCGCCTCGTACTCCTTCCCTATTTTCCATTGGGTCTATAACAACAACCAGGCCCCTTCTGCTTTGTTCCCATTGGCCAAGAGCTACAGAACGCAAGCCACTTTGCCTGTTTCCCATTGGTGAAGCCTTCTGAAACCTCCCAGCTACGATGACGTCACCTTTCTCCAGACCCAGAGAGCCCTGAGTGGCTGGTGATCCCCGGGCCGGGTACTCCTCCCTGGATCTGGCATTGGCTGCCGGGGCTGAGGGAGTCGAGCAGCGCTGATTCACCGGCGGCCGCGGAACTCGGCTCCACCCTGCCCCGCCTGGGACCTGTTGCCAGGACCTGTCCCCGGGGAAAAGTTGCGGGGCCCTGCTGGGCGCCTCTGAAGTGGAAGGCTGTTACCGCGCATTGCCTGGGAGCTCTGCCCCACTCGGTTTCGGAACCAGAGTCCTCGGTCTGGCGGCCGCGGCCCATAGGTTCCAGGCTTCCCGGGACGGGGACGGTAGAGGGATTTGAGTAAGTCTCCAGAAGGGAGAGCGGCACCAAAAGCCCGGTGGGTGGCCGGCCTGGTGAACCTTGAAGGGAAAAGCTTGGTCTCAGCGTTCTCTCTGGGAAAGCGCTGGAGTCTGGTAGCTGTAAGCGGCACTGAGCGCCTCCTTCAAGGCACTCCCCACGCCCAGGAGCTGGCGTTACTCCCTCACGCGAGTGGGTTTTAAAGCTCAGAAACTTCCCGTGCCTACAGAATGACGCTCAGTCTCCCAGTTTCTCTGACCTAAATCTCTTCCAGGGTCTTTCCTTCCCTTTTAATTCTAGATGAAAACATTCAAGGATACTTCAAGATAGCTAAAAATGGTGTTTGTATCAATATAAATGTTTAAAGAACGAAACGTTTAAGGATTGTTCCTTAAGCCTATCAAGATTTCTGAGATGAGAGCTATCTTGAGACCCAAGTTACATTAACATACTGACACGTCCACTTTAAAAAGTTGGAATAAAATTCTCTGTAAATTGAGAACCTGAATATAGAAATGAATAAAACGTGAACATATTTCACAAACCTTTAAAAAAAAGTTTGCTGTTGCCAATATATGAAAACAATACCTTACTATGTGTTAGGTAATTTGCCTACGTTATCTCTAATCTGTAACAAAACCGCATTAGGTGTGTTAATTATCTTTATTTTACACGTGAGGAAACTGAGGCCCAGGGTAGCTGAATGACTTACCTCATCTTCCATTTGTCTGGAGATGGAAGCTGAACCTAAATCTCTTCCACCCAGAGCCCACGCAACTAAGGCTCCCTGCCAGTTGTTCTAAAAACAACAGTTAAGAAACATTTCCAGACTGAGTCACAAAACACCGATACTCAAACACTGGGGAAAAAGGAGAAACTTGTATGTACAATTATGATGGGAAATTTTTAAATGTGTCCTTTTTAATGGTTGACAAATCCATTAAAATTAAATGAACTCAACAGAATTAGAATAAGTAAATATAGTAACCCATGCTTTACATACAGGAAACTATTTTCTGATTTTATGGGTTAACTGAATCTAAAAGTTGATTTTTTATGAAAACTAATAAATACATATACTGAAGATAAAAGTTGTCAACACAGAGAGAAATGAAAATGGGGATATAAAAATTTTAAAGAGTATTTTTAAATTGTAAGTTATTTGTACAACAAATTTGAAAATTGTAATGAAATGAATTATGTACCAAAACATAATAGATCCTTCACTTAAAACCATCCTGGCTGAAAATCACACATATAAAAAATAAAAAAAGGAAAAAAAGTTGTATTTGAGTCAGAAATAGCAAATTAGTAATTTAAACACCAACAGGTTTATCTTAAACTCCAAATAAAAATGCTAAATTATATAACAATCTGAAAATTAGATGAAAGAACGGACCCTTCCTGTTCCCTGGTGGTAGTGGGGAGAAGTGATCCATTATCCAGCAACACCAAGAGGAATTAGTATCATGAACAACCTCAAAGGGCTTTTGGTGCCATCTACTGGAAATCAAGCAGTGAGTATAAAACATTTGGTTTTGTTTTTCTAGAAATCATTTTACACCAATGTATACAATGACTAGTTAAAAAATCTGAAAGCACAGGTTTTGAAGAAAGAACTGAAAATCCTAAAACAAAGTACAAATGGTGTCCCCCAGTACCTGGTGCCTCAAAGGCATATTACATAAGCACTGTCTGATAAACACAGCAGCAAAAATAAAAACTGGGAATTCCAGATTATCAGAATTTTAATTAAAAACTATGGGTAATAGCATGAACATGGGCTGACAGTAGTTTATATCTTTGAGCAGGTATCAAAATAAACTAATGGAAGTAAAAGAGAATGTTGAAAATGGGGAAGCACAAAGATATAAGATATTTGTTAGATAATCTTCACTGCCATCTTTTAGAAGCTAAGATACAGTCTCCTTCTTTTGAGGGGCTTATACTGTGGATGGGCAGAGGATAGTATGAAAATGCCAGTGCTAAGCAGCATGCTCCTTAAATGCTATGGGAATTCTGACAGATACGCCTCTTTAGAGGGTACCTCAGGGTGGCAAGGAAGACAACTTTGTAATATCATCCTTAAATGTCTAACAAGTTCCAAAATCATGGGAATTAAAACACCCTATTTATAACTGAGTTTAATACCTCCTAACCACTATTTTCATTTTAATGAAATTTTTATTAGTTTTTGAGGAATTGATTTTGTTCTTTGAAATAGAATAATCAGAACTGGAATTTTCTGCTTCAGTAATATCAATCCCCTTCTTTGGGCTATTTTGGACACTCCAATATCATGATTCATTAAGACATTAAGTTTTAAAAATGCTGCCTTACAAAAAATTAGTCACTCCACAAAGATTTGATTTTAAAAATGGCTAAACCAACAGTGGTATACACATTACACAAAATACTATACTGCAGTTTGAAAAAAAGGTAGCAGTACATTTTCTATCATGGAAACCTCTAAGGCAGCACTGCATAAATAATTAAGTTATAATTATTTACATATGAACTTATTTGTGTAAAAAAAAACTATTTCTTCCTTTCTCACCTTAATGTTACATATATACATGCATTGACAAAGGTCTAGAAGGGTACACCGCAAAGGATTCACAGTGAAGGGGCAACAGGACTAGGCCTGTAGGTACTGTTCAAAGGGATTTAGCTTTGTTATAATGTCTTAAAATTTTTACAGGAAAAATGTGTTCATTTATTACTTAGGTAGCTAAAGGTTAACATCCGAATCAAGGGAATCAAGTGAAAAAAGTTCAGAGAACTATATTCACGAATTCAACAAATATTTATTGATAGTGCTGCACTCTGTGCCAGGCACTGTGTGTGGTGCTGGGGATACAATGGAAAACAAGACAAGAAAGCACCATTCCTCAGAGCTTGACGTCTAATGGAAGAACCAGACAGTAATAGATGAATAGGGTGTCAGGCGGTGGTAAGTGCTATATGGAAAAGGAAACTTTTACAGAGCATGTGAAGAAGCTGGACCCCTCACACATCACTGGTGGAATGTAAAATAGTGCAGTTGCTTTGGAAAACCATTTGACAGTGCCTCAAAAAGTTAAACAGAGTTACTATATGACCCAGTAATTCCACTCTTTTATATATCCAAGAAAACACATGCTCATACAAAAACCTGTGTACTAATGTTCACAGAACCACTACTCATAATAGGCAAAAAGTGGAATCTCAATGTCCATCAACTGATGAATTATAAATAGAAATGTGGAATACCCATAGAAAAGAATGTTATTTGGCCATGAAAAGGAATGAAGTGCTGATACATGCTCCAATATGGATAAACCTTGAAAATATGCCAAGTGAGAAAAGCCAGACACAAAAGGCCACATACTGTATGATTCCATTTATATGAAATATCCATTTTATATGACAATGTGCACAGTACGCACGTCTTTAGAGACAGAAAATACATTAGTGGTTTCTGGGGTGGTGGGGTGGAGGTGGGCAGGGAGGGAGGAGGAGTGATTTGTTAATGGGTATGAGTTTTTTTGGGGGTGATGAAAATATTTTGGAGTTAGTGATAGATACATAATTCTGCAAATATATACTAAAAACCACTGAAATGGTGTACTTTAAAAGGGTGAATTTTATCTCCACTTTTTTAATGTTAAAAAAAGTAAAACAAGATAAAGGGGCTAGAGAAGGAGGGAGGTCCCTATTTTGGATAGGGTGGTCAGTAACGTAAAGAAGCTACTCATGCAAATCTGGGAAGTGTTTGTGGGGAGGATTATCCAGGATGAAGAGCAAGTGGGAAGACTCTTGAGGTAGACTCATACCTGTTTTCGAGGAACAGCAAGGAGGCCAGCAGCATGGCTGAGCACAGTAGCAAGGGGGGTGAGGTTGCAGCAAGCCAGGGTCCAGACTGTCCAGGGTCCAGCCTTGCAGATCACAGTAAGGACTGGACCTTCTGTAAGTGACAGAAAACCACCACCAGAGCCAGAAGCAATGTAACCTGATGCACATTTTAAAAGGATCACTCTGCTGCCAGGTGGAGAATAAACCGAAGCAGCAAGAGAAGGAAGGAGACCTATTAGAAGCTATTGCAGACCAGGCGAGAGA